GAAGGAATCAGCCAAGGTTTCCATCATTTTCATCTCAACTCTCAGGCCCCAGAAGGACCCAACTCTAAGGCCCCAAAGGCCCCAACTCTAAAGCCCCAAAGGCCACCCTAACCGAGGCCTCCAGACACCTTTGGGGTAGCCCCCTGGGTTCTCCACGACTCCGATCCACTTGTGCCACAGGACCTTGGCAGAGCTTCTTGAAGCTCTTGTAGGGCCGTCGGTGGGTGTTGAGGGTTTGTCAGGTTAGGGTCTTGGGCTTGCGGCGCATATGACCTTTGGCTGGGTCAGAGCCCCTGCGATTTTGGGTTCGATGGTTTGGTGCAGGATGCCGGCGCCCGTTCGAACTCCAGGTGCCCGAATATGAAATCGAAGCCGTAGGAAAGAAGCAAATCTGCCCAAAGCTGCTGGTGATGATGACGACGATGACGAAGACGATAACGATGACGACGATGATGAGATGGTGATGATGATGATGATGATGATGATGGCTATGAAGACGATGGCGATGACGATGATGATGATGATGATGAAGAAGTTTATGATCCAAGTAGCACTGGTTGTTATTGTTGTCATCGGCCTTCGATCGTTCAACTGTTACGGTTGTTGGTTTTCGTGTGTGTGTGTGTGTAGATTTGTCTGTCTGTCTGTCTGTCTGTCTGTCTGTCTGTCCGTCTGTCCGTCTGTCCGTCTGTCCGTCTGTCCGTCTGTCCGTCTGTCCGTCTGTTCGTCTGTCCGTCGGTCCGTCTGTCCGTCGGTCTGTCGGTCTGTCGGTCTGTCTGTCTGTCTTTCTGTCTGTCGGTCTGTCTGTCTGTCTTTCTGTCTGTCTGTATGTATGTGTGTGTATATATATATATATATATGTTTTCATGCACGTCGTTGCCAATACACAAGCGGTTTCTGCTATCCCTAAACTCAGGATTCCGAACCTCAAAAACCGAACCTTGCACCTTAAACCCTAAACACTAAGCCTAGACCTTACACCCTAAACCCTCAAATCCTGAATCCCCATGCCATGCAGGACACCGCTTTGTAGCATGCTTCGCCGGCCACGGCGTTGCGACAGGCCCTCGGATTGAGTGGAAGTAGCGGGTTTAGGGCTTGCAGGGCTTGCGGGATTCAAGGTTAGGGCTTAGGAGTTTCCCTTCAGGGTTCCAAATTCAAGTCCTAAACCCTAAATCCTAAAATAGGCACTAGGATGCGCCGTGATATAAGGCTTGCTAAAGTGGTTTCTCTTCGGGTCTGGATGTATCAAGGATCAGGAGGCCTGGGAAGCATGTCCCGGCTGGTAGAGCCTGGGGTTGAGCGTTTCGGCTTTAGGGGGTCTGGGGCTCGGACTTAGGGACCCGGGGTCTTAGAAGGGTTGCAAGGGGCTTCCGGAATAAACGAAACTTTTGGGGGGGCTTCGTAAGTAGCCTCCAAGACAGTTGTAAATCGCAAGCACAGCAACAAAAACTGACGACTTGCAATCCGATTTCTTACCTGCTTACCCTTAGCAGATGAATTTTTTGCGGCCCGAACAGCGAACTGAAACGAAGGTGCTACACGACCAGAACGAGGGCTCAGAGAACTCCCAGTTCGACCCGAACGACCTCATTCCCCACGACTTCGAGGAGGAGGAGGAGGAGGACGAGGCCGACGGCAACACCCTAAACTGCAAAACCGTCTAAACCTAGAAACTCGTGTAGAATCCTCACCAAAGCCCTGATGCTCCCACAATACTTTAAACAAGGCCCAAGTAGCGAGGCAGGTGCAACCGTGGCATTGCTGGCCTTTGTGACGTTGCTGTGGGCCTTTGCGACCTGCGAAGGTGAGGGCGTGACACAGGGGCCTTCATAATTCCATTTGTGCTTTGTCTGGACATGTCTAGGTCTAGGTAGAGTCTAGGGTCTTAAAGTGATGCTTATGGGATGCTACAGGGCTTCTCATGGGCTCTAAACCCGAATGACCAAAAACCCCAGGCCCTAAATGTATCGATGTAGTGCTTAGGGCTTAGGGTTTAGGGGTTTAGGCTTCGGGGACGCCTGCCTGGAACGTTGTGGCCGTCCTTGCCACACACCACGAACCCTTCGACATCCCTCGTGCATTCGCTTGATTCGGTCGATTTGAAAAAAGTGTTGCACTTTGCTCATGTAGGACAACCCAAAACCTGAAACCACTAAGCACTGAATCCTAAAACCAAAACTACCAATCATCTGTACAAACTCAACTGCACTCCTGAATCACACTTGAAGGATCATAAGACTTGGACTTTGTGACTAGGGGTGCGAGCACATTTGCGTTACACGCTAAGCCCCTAAACCCCTAAGCCCTAACCGTTAGGAGCTTTGCTGTTTCGCGTTGTTCCTTAAGCCTTGGAGCCATTGACCCAGTATCCCAAACACAACACTTCATGAAACAGGTATAGGCAGGACCCCTATGAGACCCCTGAAAAGAAGCACTATATTCCCTATACTCCCTAAACCCTAAACCCTAAAGCCTAAAGCCTAAACCCTAAACCCTGAAGCCTAAGCCTAAGCCTAAACCCCAGACTAAGCTTGAAGCAACTTGCGGAGGCCGAGCGGTTTGAGACACCCTACACTAAGAAAGTCGCAAGGCTATGAGCTAAACGGTTTAGGGTTTGGGGTCTAGGGAGCCCACCAGATCCCAAAAGAGACTAAAATCCTAAGGCTTAGGGTTTAGGGGTTTAGGGTTCAGGGGTTTAGGAGTTTAGGGTTTAGGGGTGTAGGTTTAGGGGTTTAGGGTTTAGGGGTTTAGGAGTTTAGGGTTTAGGGGTTTAGGGGTTTAGGGTTTAGGGGTTTAGGGCTTAGGATTTGGGAGTTTAGGGTTTTGGCCGCACATATTAGGTTTCAGGCTTTGGGGTCAAACTGCTTATGGCTTAGAGCTTTGAGGTTTGCAGGCGGAGGGTTGTAGGTGGAAGGGCTTGAAGCCTATGACTCAGGGTTTACGGCTTCAATTTGTAGAGCTTGGTTGCGAGTCTAGCCGAGAGAGTGGGGCCAGCTAGGACGAAGCACTATACCCACCGAGCCACAGCCACCCAAAACCTTGAAACCCAAGACCCCAATGCAAAACCCCTAAACCCTAAACCCCTAACCCCTAAACCCTAAACCCCTAACCCCTAAACCCTAAACTCCAGTATCCCCGAGAGCTGGGTCCCTTGAAAAGGATCCCTCCTCTCATTTCAGGAGATCGCCCTGGAGGAAGAGTCTTTGGAATCTCTGGAGAACCGAAGCAAAGGCCGTAGAGATGGAAGAATGAAGCAATATGTCCATGCCGCCTCAAAACCTAAAATCCGCAAAACCCGAAACCCTACCATATCCCCCCCCCGGCCACCTCGTGGCTACTAGCACGCAGCTGCTTCGCTGCCTTTTCCTGAAATTGCCAACATCAGCCGGCTTCGGCCAATGTTCAGAGCTTTGATATGCACACTATGTAAGCATTCTGCTGTTCAATACAATCGTTGATACCACTGTTAATTGCACTATGATCCTTACTGTCTGGGTGCGTGGGTTTTGCATTCTGCGGACTTACCATGCCACTTTGTTGTTGTACTTCTTACCTTGGTTTTATGCGTGAGATTTGTAGTTTCATTGCAGGCACAAGCGCTGGAAATAGCGCAAAGTAGTGCCGCTTTGTGACTGTCGGCATGAACCCAACTCCTGAAGCCTTCGGGTTAGGGGATTAGGGCTTTAGGGGTTTAGGGGTTTAGGGGTTTAGGGGTTTAGATGTTCAAGGGTTCAGGGGTTTAGAGGTTTAGGGGTTTAGGGATTCTAGGGTTCAGGGGTTCAGGGGTTTAGGGGTTCTAGGGGTTCTAGGGTTTTAGGATTTAGGTTTAGCCGTCTAGGGTGCTCTACGGTTTCGGAGGCTTAGGCGTAGGAGTTTAGGGTTTCGGCGTTTCGGCGTTAGGACTGACCCTAGGCAAGAGGCTGAGTTGGGGTTTGGGGTTTGTGGATCCGGGTTTAGGGGCCGCGTGGGTTTGGGGTAAGGATCTATGAGCAAAACAAACGTAGCTTCAGATAGGGTTTCGGGTTTAGGGTTTAGGGCTTAGGAGTTTAGGCTTTGTCTAAGTAGGCTTCCCTCAATCACTGTCGAGAAGCATCTACGACCTTGCGGCACATGGCATTCTGACGTGCTCCGGTGTGGCGCGAGACGGACTGGTGGAGACAGAAGTGCCTGGGCAGCAAGAGCTTGTGCGATGTCTTCCACTAAGGTTGCCACCCATTGGATTCAGATTGGCACGGTGCTCATGACGCCTTTCAGGCCTGAATACCCAAATTCTAAACCCGTTCCCCCACAACCCATAAGAACAGCTCTCAGACTCACGGACCCCGGATCGCGGAGTTTCCTGAGCTTCTGGGTTTCACAGTACCGCTGCTCATTCAAGCCTCTGTGCTCCATTGACCGGCCCGGGGAGCTGGATTCTCACACCGGGTTCAGCACTTTAGGGTTTAGGGTTTAGGTTTTTGGGGTTTGGGGTGAGTTTTGTGGCCAAGGGCATGAAAGGGATTAAGTGTTGAAGGGCTCGTAAGTGCTTGCATCTTTACGGCTTGGGCTTTATGGCGTTAATTATGGGGTTTTGCGGCGCTTAACAGAGCTAAAGTGTACTAAAGCTTAAGGGTTTTAGGGTCCGAGCATTGAGTGAGGCTTCAGGGTCTTGGGGTTTAGGGTCATGTTCCCACTCGTGCGTGCAGGTTTAGGGTTCAGGGCTATAGGGGTACTGCCAGGAGCTGCATGAGTTTGAGGCAGGAACCGGGATTCGGATGTTTGGGGTGCAGGGCTTATCTAAACCCTATTATAAACCCTAAACCCTAACACTGGTGTCTTGGCTGTCTTTTCTGCTGTGCGGGTTGGATGCTGAAGGCTTGCAACGAGTCGGCCGACCGGCAAGGGTTGTAGTTTTGAGGGGTTCCACTTACAGGGTGCATATATAGTACATAAAATGTAATATAAAGCAACATGCATGGAACATCAATTCCAATGTTCCTAGATCGCGGCCGCGCTGCTGTCTGGAGCCCAGCACGACACTCCAGGGCTTGTAGCAGGTGCGCTTGAGCTCACTCATGACCTGCGGCCATCGTACTGTCCTCCCCCCGCCTCCTCCGGTCGAGAAGGGCTACATTTTTTCGGGGTCGTAGCCAGCATAATTTATTACGGACTAGCCCGAATCCGCAGCTGCTGCTAGATTGTACTCAGCTCAACAGCTCTGCGCTACCTAGAGTGAGTAGGGCCTCCACACAGCAAAGCTACAAGCATCTACAACAACGTCGAGGGCCTGACACCCGGGTCGAAAATGGGTACAGGTGGATGCAAACAATCTCCGAATCACGAGAGCATGGCAGGCTTCCGATAAAGAATTGCAGATCCGAGCACGCGAAAATCAGTGAGAAAGCTCTTGAATTGAAAAGTGTGTCCTTGGGGGATATAGAAACTCATGGTTGGTATACCAAGGAAATAGTGAGGCTCGTGTGTTCTGGCTTCCCTTCCATCTTTCACCCTCTCTGGCCGGAAATGTGCCTGCCGCAGCTGGGTGTGGGTCCTGAACAGGTACGGGTGGCCAAGGTTCGAAGGAAAGCACAGTCACACCTACAGAAAGTCGAATACCTCCTCCATTCGCGGCTCATGCGAAACTTTTTGTGCCGGAATGGCCAAATACGCATCGTCCCTGACCGGACCCTGACTTCCCAAGACCCTTAGCGCCCAAACCCTAAAACCCATGATAAACAAAACCGTCAAATGAGAGCCCCGGAAGCCCGCCCTGCTGCCCAACACATAAAACCAACCACGCCCAAATGCTCCTGGATGCGTAGAAGATCCGTGGCACTGCCACCTTGGGGGCCGTCGCTTGCGCCTATCGTGAAGGCAGCTGCTTGGAAGCTTCGAGGGACGGGCTCTGGTTGTGGGCTTCACAATTTACACGGCTGAGCTTGCAGCAAGTTGCTTTTTGTTGTCTTGGTGTTAGCTTACCTTGGTTTCAGGGATTATGGCGGCTGCTGCTACTCATACCACCAGCACCACCACCACGCAACGAACGAACAACCCTACTCATAAGCGCTGCAGAGCTTGAGTGCTTCATGCTTTCGTTCTCGAAACTGCAGCTTCCTTTTACTCCAAATTCTAGGCCGGTCACACTGGACAAATGAATTTACTAAACTGTTTACCGGTTCGCCTGAACCCTCAATCTACGCACAAGGCAGCCGCCGGGAGCATGCCTTAAATTATACATGAACCCCGCGACAATTGAAGTAATCAAGGCTTATAAAGCCTCGTTCAATTCGAACATCATCTGTCTAAAACCCTGCATACAATCTCTTTAAAAGCAGCTATAATAAGTCTATCTTGAAACCCTAAACCCTAAACCCTATTTAAAAGCCCGTTATGAGCCAAAGGCCTGCTCCTAGTTTCTGATTCCGGGGCCTCCCAGCTCGTTCGTGCTGCCGTCACCGCCTAGGGACCCACAGCTTTCCATGGCTTAAGACACATAGGCTCCGTAGCAGTTCCCCTAAGGGTCCAAGTACCCAAATAGTAGGGTTTCAAGGTCCAAAAACCACTCAGAATATGGATTTTGGAGCCTAAAACCTTATTATTTGGGTACTCGGACCCTCTGGGTTCCTTTTCGAGGTTTAAATTTAGGATTCTATAAGGTAATCCCAAGAAGGAACCACTATGGAGCCGATGGGAAGACACATCGGAGGGTTTAAAGGGTACTTTATACGGTTCTATTGTGTTCTGAATGGATGTGTTTTGTATGGGGTTTATACGGGTTCTAGGACGTCTGGTCTGTCGCAGGGTTTTAGAGGGTTGAGTTTTGTTACACGGATTGATCAGAATTTGTAGGACATCTGTTTTTTTTCGCAGGGTTTTGGAGGGTTGAGTTTTGCTACACGGATTGGTCAGAATTTGAGGATCTGGATTTTAAGGTGTTCTACTGATTCTGATGCTGCAACTAAGGGTGTATACAGGGGTTGTTTTGCCGGCTATGTAGGCTTCAACAAGGCCTTAGCAGGAAGTTGTAAGGGCCATAGGAGTTTTCCGTATCATAGCATGCTTTGAGTACTCCCTACTTCAGCAAACACCCAAACTCCCATGGTCGAAGAGTTTATGACGAAAATTGTGCAGGGTTGCAGGGTTGGAGGTTCGCATGCTTACCTGAAGCCTAGAAGCCTTCGAAACCTTGAGAAAGTTCGAACTCAGAAACCCAATATAGTGGAAGGAATGCCAGTTAAATCAGACGATATGGAAAAGCCCCAAGAAGTTTCAGACATCTTCCGTATGATCATGACAAGAAGCCCTATAGTCGTTAGCAATCTCCTTTGATTACAGCAGATTGGGCTCGATGAGGAATCTGTCTCCGGCATGCCTGCTGGCGATGTCGCCGCCATCCCAGCGCTGCGCAGAGTAGGCAAAGCCTTGAGATTTGTGTTCGATTTCTTTCAAGGTTACGGTTTAGCTAGAGCCCCACATACATTTTATGGCAGCCCCTTCAATACCTCTCCGCAGCATTTTGTTCAAGGGTTTCTACTTGGGAATACACCGGCTTTGAAGGTGTGTTTATTTGATCTCTGTATTGAAAAACTAAGATGGGAGTTAGGATTAGGGAGACCCTTTGGGATATAGACCCTCTCAACAAGGTCCCTTTTAAGAGAGCCACAAGTAGGGTTCAGAAGGGTCGCCCTTTAAGGGGTCTCCCTAATACTACCTAGGATAAGAGGACTTTCTAAGCTTTAGGGTTGAGGCTGAGGTCACAAATCCCAACATCGAACTCTCTGCGCTGTTCGTGCGAGTTTCGGGTGTTCGCTGTGGCGTTGATACAGTTACGATCCTCAAAGCTGTATCGCGATTTAGTAGGGACCCTGACAGGAACCGTTATGTGTACTCTGCTCGCCTTTCTTCGCCGAGAAAGCCAAGGCACAACCTCTAAGAGCAGCGTCACCCCGTCCCCTGCTGCGATTGCTCCTCTAGCTTCTCTAGGCCATCCACCATTCTCGACAACTCTTTGTGGGACACCCCAGCCGAAAAGAGACTGACCTTCACCCCGATCTGAGGCCACTTCTTGACCAACTCGACGTAGGCCGGCAAAGTGAGAACCTTGTCTGCGTGGTCTTTGATAAAGCAGAGACAGGCCTCCTCGAGCCGCTTGGCCTGCAACAGGTGGGCTTGGCAGAGGATGCTACAAACCTGCGTGGTGTGGATTCTCTCTGAGAGCTTCGCTTCAGACCATAGCTGAAGTCGCTTCACTGAGTACTTATGGCTGATGGCCAGGAGCTCCTGAAGCTGTGGACCATCGCTCTCATTCTTCGGAGGCCCCTGCGGAAGGATCTCCTCTGGCAGTCGATCAGTGTACAGAAACTGCAGGAAAGCCTTGAAAGTGGCGACATCACAATCCTCGATCACGATGACTTTGGAGATGCTCTCCTGCATCCCTGCCGTGAGCTGCCTGCTGAAGACCTCTGATCGCGCACAAAGAATCGCTGAGTGAGCCTGGATCACCTCGTCCTTCACCATGAACCTCACGTCGCTGCACTTCCCTTCCTGCAAGAGCGCCTTCGTGTCCTCTAGGATGGTCGGCTCCGGAATCTCCACGCCAGCGCTCCAGCGGCACTGCTGGAAACGCCGCATGGGGCGGACTTCCAGTTCGACCTTCACCGTGAAGGTGTCCTCTTGCACCCACTCGGATTGAAGCAGCTCTTCATGGCTCAGCCCGAAGATGCCCAGTGAAGCAGGAGGATACCCCGGCGAATGCACATCAGGGCCATATACGCCAAATGAGCTTTTGTTGCCGTGGTGGATGCCGTCACACTTCCCGCGCCACGGCACGAATACCCCGTCCCGGGCCTTGACGCAGATGCGATACCGAAGTGCGATACGCTCCCTCGTGCGCAGGACTATGGCAAGTGACCCGTGATGCTGCCCCTCATGGCACAGCCTGTGTGGCCACGGGCTGTAGTGAAGGTGCATTACCTCGTCACCAACACGTAAGCAGGTACTCACATTGCCAGCGGCGTGCTGCTCAAGCCCACATTCCATCCAGGAAAAGCCTTCCATTCTCCACACATACTCGGCCTTATGAACCACGTCCGCGAGTTTGGTGCTTACTCCATCACTCACATGCACAGGTCTCTGTTCGTGAACAATTTCACATATGTCCCCTGCTATGGTTTCATCATTGTCAATACGGCGTCGTTTTGCGGTTTCAGCTTCAATGCCTTTCATTTGGCTCCCCTTAGCCCAAGTCAATCTATGCAGCTGCTCCCTCAGCCTATGCCGCTCCATGGCCTGATGAGTCTCGGCCTCGAGCTCTTGGAGCCTGGCCTTATTGGCTAGGAGTTGTCGAACTTGGTCATCGATCGCTGCTTGCAGCTCCTCGGCGGACATCGACCGCACGTCCATGGCAAAGGGCGGCGAAACCTCTGAGTTGACTCTAATACACGATCCCCCAAAATCCCAAGCCCTGTCTCAGGCAGAAACCTTGGGGGGTTTAGGGTGAACGATGAAGGGCTGTTGGTTTGACAAGGCTCGGCAGCATGGTTTGATCTCTTGGCCTTGCCCGGACGCTAAACCTTAGGCCAACACTGTGAAAGCAACATGCAGGAGAGATCGGTTTCATTGTGTGCATTCCCTCTAGAAGAGCCAACGATTCCAAGCATGCCTCCATTCCACGAATACCGTCCACTTGCAAGCGAACCCTGCGCCACATGGGTACTTAATGATGGCTCTGGCTGTTTGTCGATATGCACGGTTTTCATCAAATCTAGGGTAGTTCTACTGTAAGTCTAGTGCTCAAACAAGGGTGCAGCCTTTCTTATATGTCTTTATAGATATGTAGACACCTCTAGATATATATATATACACATACTAGGTACATTAGGTATACTATATATATACACACTATATCCTTCTACTGTCTATCTATCTATCGATCTATCTATATACAACATATATATATATATTTATTTATTTATTTATTTATACATATATGTATAAAAGCAAAAGCGCGGAAGCAGACAATGACAGCTGGTGCTCTGAAGTGAGGAAGCGCAGAACCACAACAGCGGACGAGACCCCCGCCAAAAAAAAAAAAACACACACACAGAGGCGCAAAACATAAATTCCCACAACAAATAGACCTCCCTTAAACAATGCACCTTCAAGTCAGGCTCATGAAGAATGCAGCCATGCCCTTAACCATATCCCATAGACCTGCCACCCTGCACCCTGAACTGGGATTTGTACGTCTTGCCCGTGCCGGTGGGCGACTCCAGCAGCGCATTCCTTGCTGTTCGCAGGTTCATTTCCAATTTTAGGGTTGTGAGGGTTTAGGGCTTAGTTGAGTTCATAGCATAGTCAAGTCTACTTCGCATCTGCCACAGGCCCTACAGGAATTCCCATCGCCCATCTGGACGGGCAGGGGCGGCAAATGGTATTTAACAACGTCCCCAGACAAGCAACCCATTTTACCGGCCGAGGCTTCGTGATTGAGTTTGCTGCGTGGGTAGCTTCCGTACTCTGTGCGGGACCGCCGCAGGCATCATATTTTCAAGCCAGCCATATCAACGTGCCTTGGGAGTTGGAAGCACCGTGATACAGATGTGTGCGTCACATATGTCTCATCGAAATAATACTTACTAAGTTCTAGAATAGTCTTTGCTGTCAACGTCATGAAACTTCACGACACTTTTGTGGTAGTTTATCTTATCATCGTCACTGATTCTCACAGGTGTCATCATCACTGCTTTGAAAGGAAGCAGATGGTACAAGCAATCAAGCTCCTTTCCACGTTGAGGGTATCCGCCGATTAGTCCTGGCCTCTTGGGGAGGCAATGTGGTCAAGCCAAGCCTGGGACTCGGTCTGTGACTGGCACGAAAGCGTTAGCTTCCAGGCGCTGCAAGCTTGTCAGGGGAGCACAGGGCGGCTTGACGAGCAGATCATCTTTGTAGAATGATTGAATCAATCCCTCACTTACTCCAACAGCAGGCGATTCTGAATCAACAGCAAAAACTACCGGCAGGTCTAGAATGGGTTCCTTGACAGACACTCAGTACGTTCCTGGGTTTCGGAGCCAGGCTCTTTAAGCCGAAGCGGCCGTTTGGACATTCCAAGTGCTGGTGGTCACTCTATACTGCTCTCTTCAACTCTCTCCGCAAATCTGCTACAGGCGTTGTGGCAATTAAGTTCATTCATTCTAGACGCGAAGAAATGTCAACCACGCTAGTAGCGGCATGTTTGCGACTTCACTCCTTCTAGACCCTCAACTCTGAAAGTGATAAACCATCCTAGTAGACGATGTTAGACGGCAGTTGCGGCTGAGATGCGACCCACCGTCCAGGGCTTTGACGACGGCTCGCATGTACTCCAGCTGGCAGTCGTATGCCTGCAGGGGCACTAGGCCCACAAGCTCTATGAAAGAGCTGTCTGCATCGGGAGCTCAACCAGGAAAGAGGGCTTCGGCGAGTAGGCGTCAGGGTGAGCTTATGGCTTAAGGTTTCGAGTTCAGGGTCAAAGGATTACTGAGACTATTACTGCGACAGAACAGGCAGTAATGGGGCGAAGCTTATGACAGAGAGATATGACCGGCCACCGTTCCGAAACCCCTACGCCCAACTACCCGCAAAAGCTCAAAATCCCCGACATCCTACTTAAATGAAGCTCTAGTATCCCCTGCAATTCTGCGATGATGCCATATACCGTCTTGCGTGAGCTACTTAAAGGCCTAACTTACTTCGTAACAAGAGCATCCAAGCAAGAACCCAAAGTCGAACCATCTAACCCTAAACCCTATAAACCCTAAGCCCTCAATTCGGAGCCTTTATTCGAAAAGAAAACCATTCTGACCATGTTTAGGGGGTTTTGAGCCCCTACCCTAAGGGTCCAAGTACCTAATGCTCACCTACAAAACTACTATCCAGAACCCAGATACATGATAATTAGGTCCTTTGGACCCTTAGGGCCATACCAGAACCCCGAAAGCAAACCCCAAACCCTAAACCCTAATCCCTAAACCCCAAACCCTAAACCCTAAACCCCTAAAAGGCGCCTCGTAGGGAAAATCCACCTGGACGCCATCGACATCGTAGGTCGGCATGGCCCTACACCCTATAAAGCCTATGAGCCCTAAACCCTATAAACCCTAAACCCTAAACCCTAAAAACCCCTATAAACCCTAAACCCTAAACCGAGGCGAGGCCGACTCTTGGGGTTTCTGCGCCTTTTTTTTCTTCGAAGGGTCTTTTTGACTTGTCGGTGGTACCCTAAGCCCTAAGCCCTATAAGCCCTATAAGTCCTATAAGTCCTATAAACCCTATAAACCCTATAAACCCTATAAACCCTAAGAGTTGCCTCTGGTTTAGGGGTGTAGGGTATCGGGGGCCCCAAGCTGAAAAGGATCCCAACTCGATCTTGCGGAGGCTT